AAAATAAACAGCTACAACTTGCTCAACAAATCTTCCAAAGGCCCAGAGACGGCTAAGAATGAGCTGAGGTAAATCCCTCGACAGGCTCCACTGAATTCAATAGTTGGGCTATCTTCAGTTGAAGCTCATTGGCTAGGACAGGATTTGGAACTTGGGAGAAGCGATATGACGGTGCTGCCTTTGAGACCAAAACGGATAAACGGTCATGAAAACTGACCGAATGACATTGTACACAGATCAACAATCCAGCCAAATGCATGCAGTTCACATGAGCTATTAGTCGGTTGGCTAATTGCAGTCTGTGTATTTTCTTTTCCATGTTCTTGACATCCTAAGCCAGAAAGGACAAAGCTTTTCAGAGGTACAGATGTTGACCTGGGAATGCTGTCTTTCCCCTTTGGACACTCTCCTACGTTGTTGATTCGCCTTCCTTAAAATTACATCTAAAAGAGAGCGATGTTGTCGTTTAACCATTTTAGAAATACTTCTGGAAAGACGGCGTTGGTATTTTACCGGAAACTCACGAAATTAATCAACGAAATCGATCGAAAGTCTCCCTGCTCAACCGGACACGCATCATTACAACGATCATCGTAAGACATTTAAATTTATTCATGTGTACACAAAACAATCCGCCTTAACTGTTTTACTTTTTCGGGAGTAGATGCCAAGATGTCGAATTTCTTAAAAATATGGATATTATGATTCGTAATTTACCATTAATCATTAACCATTAATAATTTACCATTAATCACTCTGAAATTCGATGGTGAAATCTTTCAGCCGTTGGTCATAACAGTATACTGTGCTTTTGGCGGATTTCTATCGCGTTATCTTACGCTGTCCAGTTGCTTTTTGATGCCTAGGAGACATTTTCAGTATGCCGCCGCTCCATTCTATTTAAGTACATGCAGTATGTGGAAGCTGTTCTATTTTCATGCTGGATAAGAAAACGCTCGTTCGAATATCAGCTGAGAATTGCTACAACCCGCTGATGTTTGTGCACACCTCTAATGAACCCTATATTCTGGGGTGACTGAAGAGACTGGAAAATCAAATTGTTTATTCACGGTCTATTAACATTCTCCTAGTGCTTCAGACTAATCAAATCGATAGATATCGATTTTTCGATTTATATGACATTACTCCATCGTCCCGGTTTCCAGAAATATTATTCTAGAATATTACAGCTCCCAAGAATATTTTAGCAGCAGCTGCGAGGCAAGTAATTTTTATTTACAGCAAAATAGCCACAAAAAATAAATGTCTCCATGACACAGTATTATGACGGCCACATAACCCGTCTCAACTCGGACGTAAAATTAGGTCTGGCTCTTAACGTCAAACAAAGGCCGCTGATTGGCCCGCTGTTTCACGTGATTCCAAAGGAACACCTACTCTACTATTTAAGTGGCTGATCTTTACAGATTCTCCTAAAGCAGTAAATGGGCGCCTTTGCACAAGATACAGTGGGGACTGCATAACGTCCGGGTACAACAAAATTTGTGAGGTGAATTTTGCGTTATGGTCGTACAGATGAACATGGCAATTTGACAAAATTTAACAAACACAACTGATCAAAAATGGGCGACATTTTGCAAAGAACCTTATAATCTTCACACACTATTTTTCCTGAAGCATAGCAGTCCATGCACAAGGACGCAATTCTAACGGTAGCTTCATTTAGTCTCAATCATCTTCAAAGTTCGTACAACTGTTGAACTGTCTGTGTCAAATTTTTGTCAGTGACTCAAAGCACGTTTCAAGACCGCAATGCTAGCTGAGCTGATGTTCAAAATCTCGTGTACCCTTAGAAGCAATTTGTCTTAGCTGATTCCTTTGATATTTCAGTCTTATTGCCTCTCAAGAAGATTTTCTCAATATTTCAGTCAAGGAATAGATAAATTTCTAAGCATAAGTATACAAAAAATTGTATTATTGAGTCCTCTCTATTTCAATTTCATACATAAGAAATGTCATCCGTTCTATATAGATGTGCTCACATGAAGTTATGCCGGATTTCCAAATGTGCAGCTTATCTCTCAAAGTCCACGTGACAATCCTCATACGCTTTCTAATATTATCGATGAGGATTGTTCAGAGCTTCTATCCGTTTAACTTACAATAATCATGCCCTTTTAATTGGCAGGCAATTGGAGGTAAATTTTTGAGCTAATTTCTAAGGAATCAGTACGTGCAGTCGGCCTGAATCCTTCAGTTTCCAAAATTGAAATCAGACTGCCTGCGTTTGATAGATCTCCCTGAATTCGCAAGGAACACTGTCAACCTCACTTACCGTTGTATTGTTAGCCATCACATAGAAAATTTTTTATCATTGCTAGTGGCTCAGGATAATGCTTTCTATCGAATATCAGAGCATCTTCCTTATTATTGTAAGATCTGTTGTTTCAGCATTTGTTTTCAGGGAAGGCCATTACTGTATGATAAATGTTTGCACTAAATTGATACAGGTAAAGAATAAGG